CCCTCCAGTAGTGTTCAGTAGAGGTTTTGACTGGCAACTACCTTTTTCTTATTGCCCTAGCCAGCTGAATCAGGCCTCTGATGAGAATGATTATCATGATAATTGCAGAGCTCAGTGGGAGGTGTGGACAGTCACCCATTGTCCTTGGTGGGGAGGGTCAAGTTAAAGTCTTGATACCAAGGACACACTTAGCATAGGACCTGTAGGGCTCCAACCTGTAGACACTCACTAAAGCCATGTTTTCATAAATTCAGTCAGATATCAAACACCTGAAAAAGGAATTTTTCGGTCAAGAACATACAATACGTTTTATTTCTTTGAGGGTGTAAAGGTTTGGGATTGGGGTATGGGACAAGGAAAAGTTGGGACATGCATTATAGACCTGCTGTATATATGTTAGTAATTTTATCTTCCTTAAACCAAGGATCCTCTTTTGCAATATAGGCGGAGGGTACTTTCCTTGAGCCATAAGGGGGTGCTATGCAAAAAGACCTTAACTACCGGAGGGTTTTTGACTGAGATCTCCCCTTATGCCACTTGGTCAAGTACCCTCCCCTGGATTGTTAAAGTAGAACTTTTCTAATAATTTTCCGGACTTTTTAAACTTTCTAAGCTGAAAGTCGAAAAAGCTGAAATACAACTGTTTGAGACTCAAAGGACAGCAATAAACACACTCTTGCTCGATATATTTTATTCAGGTTTTGTTAAAATGTTAATTTAATTTATTTTTTTTTCAGAGCCACTGTAGAGATCCGCTTAGGTTTCGGTCGCTGTTAGATAGTATTTCGTGGCGTGTCGACACTAAATAACATCAATCGAAACCAGCCTCACCTAAGTTCCTCGGAACGACCATAAACCACGTAATTCGGCGCAATACTGCTGAGTCTATTGTAGATTTAACAGTTTTTAGTAATATAAACTGTTAGTGTCAAAAATTGACCCTTTTTTAACTCAAATTAACATTCTCGCAGCGATCGATCAAATGAGCGGAAGTCGAGGATTCATTTTGTAAGACGCCGCTGACATATTGATGACTCATCTGGTTTAGGTTGATGTTATCTAGTGCCTTCCATATGAAATTCTTATATTGGAACCACAGAATGAGGAAATAAATGCAAAGAAGATTGTTGCAGTTAAAAATGTAAGTTACATGCAGTTGCAATAAGAAAGAATGAGATCCTGAGCAGCCGTTTCACTCGAAACACTTGCTTGGTAACCCCCGCCCCTTACCCGTAGTCAACCTCATCCGTATTTCGGAGCCCCTCTTTTTCCGCACCACACCTGCCTCAAAATCTTCATATCCGCTCCTCTCCAAAGCAATTTAAGTTTGGCTATTATTTGGGAACTTTAAACAGTGATTCTCTTATGGGAAGCGCGGAATGAAAACTCAAAATTTGATTTTTCACAGCTAAACAAACCTGATGTATAAATTTTAACTAAAGCATTTTAATCAAAGAAATTAACGAAACTGAGACGACATGTTAAGATTTACTCCCAAAGAATTTGAATGATGTCTTAGCACTGACTTTTTGGGAAAGTAAAAACACACGCTCGTGTTTCGTTAAATATTAAAACTTAATAAGGCAATGTAGCGGACAAACACGTTCACTTGGTCTTTAGACTAAGGCAGTGATGCGTTAAACCATTAATTTATTCCCGGCGGGGGATTTTAATTCATCTCGATTAAAATCTCTACAAGAATCGAGGTTTTAACCACCTTTATCAGCTGGATAAGAAAGAAAAATGAGACAAAATGCTGTACCTTTTGAACAACATTGAATTCAAAACAAACTGCAAACTATTTACACTTACGTTACGGTTGTGTTGGATGAATTATTTGCTGAAGCGCCCGCGGCCATTTCTTTATTGATGCGGAGTACCGTATCTTCAGTTCAGGCGGTTTCTCACATTTGAACACGGTGCCTTTTTCGTCCAAACTTCGCACACGTTTCGTGAGAAAGCGACTTTCGAAGATTTTACAATCAAACCAACCTCACAAGGGATAAAAGAAGCGAAATTGTCTTCGCTTTTTGTTTTGACTGTCGAGCAGCGTGCAGCAGCGTCGACATCTGGACTAGGAACGAAGTATCACGTGTCTTTGTCCAGTATTATGGATTAATTATTCCAAGTAACTTTTCAGCTTTTTGCAAAGTAAAAATTATCATAAGTTATTTTTACAGGTCTTTCAAAAGAAAGGAACTATTTTAAGAAAACAGAATAAGAAAGGTCCGGTATTGTGACTTTTTTTAACGTTTTCCTTTATTCACGAGACAGGTCGAACGTTAACAACAGAGAATATGTTGCGGCATGCTCTGTGAAAAGTTAAAGAGAATGGATTCGTTAAAAAACAGTTTAAACTCAGTCGTTGTTTCTGTTCTCCTAAAAACAACAGTCAGCTCGAAAAGAAACAGTTTGCCAAGTCAACCGGTCGACTCAATCGCCAGAGGCAATCTATGCTAGCCGTTGGAGTGCTAAAGTATTCATTCGACAAGAACTTTTGTTTGATATTAAAATAATCAGTAGGGAACTTTAGCGAGGACGACGACGACGGCAGTGAAAACGTCGGTAAAAAAAAATGAATTTGCGTTCTTTCAAACTTAATCGCGTCTATTTGGATCCGCTAAATATGTCAAATGCAGGCGACTTTTCCTGGAGTTGAATTCTTACGGATTTTATTCAGCTTCAAAAAGATAAAGGAAAAGTCGTCGTCGTATGTCCACGTCCTCCATAAAACGTTAAATTAGGAGGTTTCACGTCGTAGTCGTGCAGTGGACGTCAAAGAAATGCACTAAAAAGCGTGATGCACTCGCAGAGTTGTTGTTTTGATCATTAACCCTATTTTTTTTTTTGAAGTTGTCGTTGTGGTCGTCGTCGTAGTTGCTTAAGCTCCCTAATAATGAGTATTGTAGCCAAATCTAGTCCACTCACTTTGTGGAATAAAGTAAGTTAACCTGCAAATAATTGCAACAGGAGATATCCTAACTGTTTTAAACCCAGACACTTATTCTTGATAACATATCAGAAAGTCCCAAAAAGTCCCGGTAGGGGAAGTCTCTTAAAAACGGGATCTCAGCATGAGAATTTGTTTAATGTTTTAAGATTTTATTCATGTTTACTGTAATTGTCTATAGTCCATATTTTAAGATTAGCTTTTGGTTTAATTTATTAATTTTTAAGAGTATTTTAGTATAATTGTATAGTTTTTATTAGTTTTATCATTTTAATTAATTTTTATCAGGGCCCCAATTGATAGTAGTGCCTAAGGCGTCTGAATGGGCTACCCTGATATGAATAAATAAAGTCTCTCTCTGATAGCGAAAGTGGCCTATTGAGGGGATCCGAAACCTTTCAAGTAGACCCTCTTTTATTGTGGAGCCAAGGCTAACCAAAGGCCGTTCTTCGCACCATATAATGGAATCCTCATTCCGGAATCTGGGAAATGTTTTCTTATGGAATCCGGAATTCTGGGTTTTGTAATCCGGAATACAGCTCAAGGAATCCGGAACCCAACTAACGATTAGAATCCAGAATTCAAGATCTACTGACAAATACTGAAATCCAGTATCAGGTATCCGGAATCCACCGTGTGGATTCCAGAATCCAAGACTGTCCTGGATCACCTTACATGGGGCGAAAAGGTTATAGTTTAACGTTATGCTAAAGGCGTGTTTTTGTAATAAAATCCGGTAAAAACGGTAAAAGTTGGGGAAAATGTTAAGGTAGCTACAATGTTTTTATGCTTCAATGCCGGCTATCCACCTGAGAAATTATTAAATACTCAGTTGGGGCCATTTAACGTTCATCACGTTCATCGTCGAGTGGATTTTTTTATTAATAGCTTACAACAGCGTGTTGCTGTTTTCGCGGAAATGTTTTCTGTGCATTGTGTGTTGGTTTTAATGAGAAACTTAGATAACTGAAGAAATTATAAAACAAAGTTGATCAGCGCTTATATGTGGAAGGAAACGAAGGGGAAAACAGAATGGTAAGAAATGGCTTAAGACGTGAGTCGCAGATTAGATTATTTTAATTTTTTTCTACTATTCAGTAACTTTTACATGTATAAGTCCACCGCAGCTCATATCACAATTGAGTCAGCACGTTATAATGACAGATTATACCACTTCATCAAGAAGAGATCGAGAGCGTTACGAAGATGATTCAGCCTACTTTAGTAGGATGTATAGTATATCTAAATACATATAAACCTGGTTTTCACTATTTTGTTTCAAAATTTGCAGTCATCCTCTAAGATGAAAATTGTGAGAAGAAGGGATATTAACGTCAAACAGCCACAGTCGGGTGGATGGAATAGAATTTGCTCCAGAAATTTGCGTGGTCCCGAAGTCTAAGTCCAAGTTTGGCCCTGATTGGTGGGGTTAGAAAATGGAGGGGTGGCCATCAGAAAATGTTCTGTCGTTAAGACTCTTATCCATTTTGGATCAAAAAATGGATCGATTTATGTTCCTGGGAAACAGCCCACCTACCCCTCCCTTACGCTACTATTAACACTTGTTTGCTTGTGCTATTTTATTGTTTAAATGCGTATAAAAAAGCATATTTAATAATTACTGAATGAGGCTGAGTATATGTCTCAAGGATGTATGATTTGAGGAATTGACGCAGATCGAAATAATACCCTCCGAGATATTTTCTTCCTATTGCTTTAAGCAGTAGTTTCTATGTTTCGCTCAATTTGGTGGACAGTTCCCCAGTGACTGAATTTAGCTAAAATTGATTTCGTCGACGCAGCTCCTTTAAGATCTGAATAAGAAATTTTTACTGAGCCAGTTACGCCAGAGCTCTAACTCTTTCCTGTTGCTGCCAAGTAAACAATGTTACAAGTGATTATCTAACGAACACGAAATAATACGATATATTTCATCTATTACTAGCAAACAAATTTAAAGACTCCTTATAGTGAGTTGTCTCTAACCACGAGTAAAAAATTGGTTGAAAAAAACAAAACGTATCACCGCAATCAACAATTCTACTTAGAGTCAAGCAGGCACCAGGTCGCTCAAGTCAGTGCGGATACTCCTGAGGCTAACGGAAGTTGCACGACTTATACCAACCCGCTTACGATATTTGATAAGACATGGGTTACGAAGCAGTGTCACAGTCACATGCCAGCGATTGAATGCTTTTTGAGACATACGCGGGAGTCTTCGCTCACGAGTATACACTGCAAACGAAAAAAAGAACAGAATTAGCTGCCTAAACACCAAAGAGGTGAGGTTTTTTAAAATTGTAGCGTCAGTTCCGGTTGACGTGCGTGGCTAAAAAACGTCTTTGCTTACTCCCTAATACAAACCCTTGAACTATAACGTAACATTTTATGCCCCAGTTATAGTAAAATGTGTTGAATAGGGCCCCGATTTAAAGTGCCCAGGAAATGACGCAGGTGCTTGAATCCCCAGTCGCTAATCGCATCTCGTTATGTTGGGTTCTACTGTTTAAATGATGTTTCAAATATTTGATGGATTTAACAAGGTTAACCAAGCACATACCAGAGGCATCCCCATTTTCCTTTGAACAATCGCGGTTCTCAGACTGAGCACCTACTGGAGATTCCGAATTAGGCTGGTGAACTTTGTCCCTGTTTATCAGTAGCTGACAAAACAAAAGCATCACGGGATGGCTCTGAGCAACAAGCAGGTTGATAAAACCAAGGTAAGCAACAAATGCTGTAGAAGAGAAGGATAAGAATGTGAGATGGAGGGAGACTGAAACCTCACGGCAAGCATATGTCAATGAATGAACACATTAAAAGGCAAAGGTCTCTGAAGGCCTTTGTTGAATGATTGGATTGCAAATGTCGTTGTTAACAAGTTACACTCTTTTGGGAAAGGGAGACAAATGGTTTATGAAGGTAGTAGCCTGGCCATAGACAATCTGACAGTGCGAGCGCGCTAGAGCAAGCAAGGAGCACTCCTGGCGCCGGGGGTGAATAAATCCCCCGCGGTTTTTATTTCCATACGCGCGCTCGACGATCTTTAAGGGGAAAAATAGAGGGTCTGTGAACAGCCCAGGGAGGAGGATGATAATGTGTCGAAAAGATAAGAGAGGAGGGAGAAATCAGTCGATAAAGAAGGGATGAAAGGGAGAGCAAAAAAATAGGGACGTATGACATCGATATTATCTAATGTATCGTATGGTCTCTACCGCGATAACCGCCCTCACCGTGAACTGACTGGATGTTGTAAGTTATTTCTAGTTGCTTTCATATCTTAAATGCATGTAGAATAAAAATTATCATGGTTACGGAAAACCGTGTAAAGTTTCCCCCTTTAAAGATTTCCACATGCCTCGGTCCAATCTTTGAAATCCCTGCATCAAGGTCGACCGGTCTATACGAGCCAGGAATACAACTCCTAGAACGATACCCAAGGTGATGCGAAGAAAACCAGAAAACAATCCGACCAGAATGTTGAAAAAGAAGAAGAAGTATGACATAATCGAGAACAAGCGTCTGCAATATAAATAATAAATCAATCAATCAGTCAAATAAACATATAAATAATTATTAAAATAAATCAATAAAAGAAAAGGATGGAAGACAGAAAGGGTGATAAATGTGACCCTTTTGCCGCGTTGTCACGTACGGTAGGTTGAACTGTTTTTACAAGGTTCAAGAACCAAACGAGAAGACATGGTGAAGATGGCAAATACCTGTTATCCACAGTGATGACAATCCTGGGAAAATCTCTGTCGCGGAAAACATAGTGGACAAGAAACAATTGGAAGAGATAGAGGACAACGGACATGATAAATGCGTACCTGAAGTAAACCACAAAAAATTATTACTCAACATAATTGATGTTAAGTAGCTTTAGACTTAAATTGCCATTGGTTAATTCTTAGTCACGTGGCCTTGACTAAATTTAATAGCATCTTGTTTGTGATACAATTCAGCAATTGAACCCAGCTCAAGATACAACAGCACGTGTTCAAGATAGTGGAACGCGGCGTGAGAGAAGGCGGGAAAAACCGACTGCCAATTTTTCCTTTCGTGAATGAACACAATAAAAAAAAAAGTCTCAATCTTAAAGGAAAGATTTTTGAAGATATCCCTCGAGTCCTGATGTTTCCATCAACTTCGTCTTGAGTGTGTCAGGCAACAACAACAAAAACTGAGGAAGAAGGGATTTTTCCTTTCCAAACTGCATGACTTCCTACCACCTATGATGCCACAGTGACTTAAATGTAACGATAGCAACCAATTTTGACCAGACTTGGCAATAACCAGGCGCTAAACGAATTATAAAGTTGCTCCTGAAGAGAGGAGGTTTGACAACGTATCATAGCGAAACAATGCAGAGAATAAAGTAACATTATTATTCATTCAAAATATTTTCCCGATTCTGATTGGCTAAAAGCACTCGTTTAATTCACCATAACCAGTTACTGATGACCAAATTTGGAAGAATTGCACCGTTTTCGCAGGTTAAAGCACCGTTAAGACCTAGGGACGAGGTTGAGTTGTTTTGATTGTGAACTTGAAAAATGGCGGACATTTCACTCGTTTCAAGAGCAAGAACTAGGCGAAAACATAGCTAAAAGCATGGCAAGAACAGCAACAAGACAACTCGAAGGGTGACATCTGCTATTTGGAGAATATTTGCCGAGCTGGACAAACCCAAACGTGCACTATCGAAGATGAACTTAACATCGATGGATCGATGGAGGTTAGCATGTTTTAGCCACGTTTTTAAACTAGGAATTATTTTGAACGAATAATAAAACAATTATTATTTCAGACATCCCACGGTCTTGATTTTAGTCCTCGATGGTGTGACAGGGAAAATCACCAATACAAGCCAAAAAGAATAAAATAAGCATCGACTTACACCCGAGGAAGAAAATCATGATAACATAAGTAGTGATCGTTTCTTATACACGGCGCGCATAGTGAAGTATAAACCTAGAAAAACTCACCAAAAGATTCATTCACAAAATGTACGTCGCGGATGCAACAGCTGAAGCAAACAAACTTAAACAAGAACGTTCTTAGTAGCGTTGAGTCTCGCTTGCTTGGAGATAAATTTTATTGTCAGCTGGTGCTGTTATGCTACTTTTTTCGTTTGGAATACAAAACGAGTGTTATATGTCATAAGGTAAATACTTAAAACTTAAAATTTGGAAGGAGAGACAGGCCGCACATTTTAGCTTCACATCGGTGTATAGCCTTTGAAAACCTTCTGCATATTGATATTGCTCCGGTGAGGAGAACTCTTTCAGGGATTTACACTCAAAAAATTGAAGGATGATTTTTATTCGAGTATAAAAATATATAGCTTCTATGCAGCGAACACGATACGGTTCGGTACATTTTTTGTTCAGCATAAGAAAAATGTGTAATTTTAGCAGAACCTTATACAACAGACAGTTAATTGAGTTCGAGCGTATTCCAGTTGAATTTGTTGCCCGTTTTATAAGGTTTTATCAAAATTGCGTGAAAGTAATTACATTTTCCATGGCTGCTAAGCATCTGCTTTTAATATCTTCGTACAGATGATGTTTACGCGATCTTAGAGTACAATGTTTAGAGCTGTACACAGCGTGCATTTTATCACAGTACCACCGGCATAAAGCTTTTCATTTTCCAGGAAAATTTCACTTCCTCGTCAAAACAATCACTGAGTCAGTCAGACTCGGAGTAGTTTACTGAAATTTAGTGTTCAGTACAGCAAGCGGGGCTATGTATTGTGAAATTTATCTACAGTCTGCGGCCCACATCACCACGATCCACGATTTATTTATTTAGTTGATTTTCAAGTTTTTTTTAACCGATCCTCGATCCCCGATCCCCGATCCCCGATTCTCGCTCCCCGATCGTCCATCCTCGATCCTCGCTCCTGGTTTTCCAGTAAATCTCGAAGTTTTGCACATTAAGATTGTTATTTTTTTCTACCACTAAAGTAATCAATTCTTTCAAAGCAATCAACACTTTCAAGCGATAGAATTCGTCGACCGACCCGTTCCAGAAAAGCTCGATATCGGATTTCTATTCTATGGACATGAAATGCTACAAGTAGAGTGCGTGATTAGTTTAAAGCTACCCGTGTAAACACATTCGTGACACATACTTAACGTCAGACACATAGTTGAAGTTGCTTCCAGTAGTACTCGAAGGTTAAATCATTGATTTCTCAAGTATTTATAAAGTGCAACGCGACTTTACATCTTAACAACTGCGAAAATCTATCAATTAAATAGCTACAACAAAGTGAATCTATTTAATCGCAGAGTTACAGTAATTGCGACAATATCTGCGAAACGTAACGCCTCAATACACCACGAGAATATCTTCCCATCCTACTCGGGGTATTTACCCGTGCATAATTACACGAAAGTCAAGGGTCTCCATTTGGGGAAAATTTCGCCATAGCCAAACAGCGAAAACGCTTTCAACTTACATGCGTCATTTCATTTATCGCCGAAGATAAACCGCATGCTCATCACAAGGCTCATTTGCATTCAATGAAAGTCGTCACGAATCTTATCCCCAGTTTCCACGGTCTCCGTTAGGAACGCCTTGGAGCATGCCCCCATTTTCGCGACGGACCGACAAAAAATAAAAACGTTTGCATTTTTAGAGTCTCGCTCTGCTAAAGCAAGCAAGCTACAAATTTTACTTACATCAATGATTTCGCTTTTTCTACACACCATTCCCATTCTTCTTTGGGAAGAAAACGTTTTAAATGCTTAGAAGCAAATACAAGGCCAAAAAGAACAAGCCATAGAAGAATTCCCATCGAAATATATCCTGAAAAAAGAAAAAAGAAATCACGCACAGTGAAACCTGTCATATGTTGCGTTCCTTTTGACCAATCTAAATCCGGATTCTGCTATTCAAAATTTGATTTTTCGTTCACTAAGGACCAAACCAATCTTAAATTGCAATCTGAACGATCCACCTCCACACTTGGATAGTTCAGATTGGTATCCCATCTGGATTCAGATTTTTGTTCCATTTGACGAAACTGCTTTTCGATCGCAAGAACGTTCTCGTTCATTGATAGACACGGTGTGTCAAGCAAAAGTTGCTAATACTTCTCCGTTGTCTTATGCCGCTGAAGAATTGAAGTATGTTAAATTCAAGTCCACATGCACATTTTTTTCTAAAAAAAATTGTTTGAATCAAATTCCAGATAATTTCAAGTTGACGAGTCCCAGTATAAGCCGCCACTATTTAAAGAGCTACTTTCTCTTCCAACGCTTGAAAACGATAGGTTGATATTGAGAAGAAGATCAGAGCAGCACGCAGCTACTGTATGGATCGATCTTATTTCATATTTTTGTTCCGGCTAGCAGGAAGATCTAAACAATCTGGATTGTCTAAATCTGAGAAATGTTTGGCTAAAAGGAACGTAACCATTAGAAGACCCCATATTTAACTGACACTCGCGAATGTAAGTCATAGACATTTTTCCTAATTCAGTTTTATGGAAAACGAAACTGAATGTATTCAACGGGATAACCCTCCCAACCCTTTATTAAGCTGATACAAGCGATCAGTCCTGTGGATGTCAAGTCTTCTTCTCAGATTCTTCGCAGCCTCCCGTCACGCAACGCTCATTAAAGTACTTTTATGGGTTCCGGGATAGTGGTGGAAAATGGCAAGCCAAAGGCGATGTGGGCACTTTCTAATCTGACCTGAAACCATACACATCTATGAATGAATGTGATGAATGTGAATGTGAATGTGAATGTGATTTTGAGCCAGGTTGCAACGCGGACTGACTGTTTTATCTTACTACAGTACAAGCTGTTCTAACCGTTCTACCCCTTAGCCCGAAGAGTGATTAGCATTAAATTTCTTCTTGTAATAATCTTAACTTGATAATACAAAGTGGTACCGAGAATCAAGGACTTGATCACACAAGTTAATTTCTATTGTCACTTTAACAACTTCTCAAGCATGTTAAGGCATGATACCTCAAGTTTTGGTTTCGACTCCCCGCGAAGATAAAGCTGTTTTTCGTCTACGGCCATGCATTCTACTTCTAAAAGTTGCAAAAACTTTCGAGAAAATTTCTTTGGAGGCGTTGAATTAATTAGGGTTGAACAGATGTAGTCACGTGAAACGTGATGTCATAATGATATTCAAAAAGAAATTTAAAATGGGGTAGGAATCGTTGATTACAACTAAGTTTGAACCATGTGTAAACGTTTGTTTTACCGTACGAATTTTTTCCGTGGCCGGAACGGAGAGTCTTTTTAATTTCTTAAGAAGATATTAACAGGTGAAAAGTGTCACGTGACCTATTTTGCTTAATTACTAATTATACATATATATAAAAAGAGTCAACCATTCCGGCCAGATACAAGCGGGAAATGATGATACAATAACAATAATACTGTATTTATACTGTGTGGCATCTCGCCACCCCATTTTTAGTGTTCTTTTCTTTCCTGGACTCGACCATAAGTGGCCACGTGACACAGATATCTGATTTCTTACGTTACAGGAAAATTAAGGTTACCGATTTTTCCGAGCTTGCCAAACTTTGGAAGGTTCTGATAAATTTTCGCAAAGTTATGATCATTATAAGATTTTATGCAAATTAGCGCCAGGGCAAGCCTTAACATGCTTGAGTTCTCCGCAGTGCTTGTATAGGAACTGTATAGGGAAAATTTGAGTTTATTTCAATATTTAACGATTAATGAACGAGGCTGAGTATCTTATGAAGAATTATGGTGATCGAGGAGGGTTTTATCCGTCGAGGCTGTAGGCCGAGGCTGATAAAACCCTCCGAGATCTCCATAATTCTTTATATGATACGAAAGCCGAATTCAACAACCGTTTTATTATTCATTCGAAATAATTCCTAGTTTAAAAACATGTCTAAAACATGCTTACCTCCATCGATCCATAGATGAGAAGTTCATCTTTGAAAGTGCACGTGTAGGGTTTGTTCAGCTCCGCAAATATTCTCCAAATAGGAGACGTCGCCCTTCGAGTTGTCTTCTTGCTGTTCGTGCCATGTTTTTAGCTATTATTTTGCCTAGTTCTTAATCTTGAAACGAGTGAAATGTCCGCCATTTTTGTTCTACAACCGAAACAACTCAACCTCGTCGCCAGGTCTTCTCGGTTAACGGTGCATTAACCTGCAAAAAAGCTGCACTTTTGACGACATCGATCCATAAAACGCAAAATTCTTCTAAATTTGGTCATCAATAGCTGGTTATGGTGAATTATGCGAGTGCTTTTAGCCAGTCAGAATCGGGGAAATATTTTGAATGAATAATAATGGGTTTAAAGGCCGGGTTAAGAGGAGACCCTCTAGTCATTTACGCAGCCATTGTTAACTATTGTTTAAGAAGAGCTTTGTGAAGGCTGAACAAGAAAAAGAACCGGTGAAACTTGTAAATGTCAGCTTTTACTGTAGTATGATAGTTACAGCCAAACAGCATAATTATTCATTGCAACCTAAATAAAAATCCCTTGTAGTAAGTTGTATAAATGTGGTTTCAGTTCAGATAAAGTGACTACATGTTTAAGGTTCAAGTAAGAAATAGCCTTTGACTTTGACTAGCCATTCTTTACCACCATCCCCGGACCCACAGAAAATGTCTTTAATGAGCAGGTGTCATTCCTTTTCGCTGGCTAACGACGGACTTGCCAGTTTTCTGTTCTGTTTTTTTGTTGTTGTTATTATTATTATTTTGGTATTTAGAGTTGTAAGACAAGTGGTCAATCACTTGAGAAGAATTTTAACATGACCTTTGCTTGACGTACCGTACGTCGATCACCATACTTAGAAAGATACAGCCTGCTTAACGCACTCTTATCTTATCGTTAAATGTTCATAACATTAACCCTCTAAGCACTAAGAGTGATCAGCATCAAATTTCTCCTTGTAAAACCAACAGAGAGTGGTCATGAGAATTACGGACATGATCACACAAGACGGAATTTGCTTGAAGTTTTATCATATTCTCCCCACTACTTGTGTAAGAAATGAATAGGTGCAACAAATGAGAATTCAAATTTTGTTCTTTGGTTTTAAAGGGAACCTCCACTCTTACTACAGAATAAGTTTAAATCGAATAAAATTATGTTGATAAACAAATTTGTTCGAAATTTGTCCTTAAAAAAAGTGTTTATATCAGGAAAAGTGAATTTTAGAATCGCTTATTTTCACTTTCAAATTTCGCGGGCGCCGCTATCTTGAATAATTGTGACGTGTTACGGTTGCTCTATTGTTCTGACACAAAGAGCTTTTGTTTAATAACAATAGGGCAACCGTAACACTTCACAATTATTCAAGATGGCGACGCCCGCAAAATTTGAAAACAAAAATAGGCGAATTTAAAAGTTATTTCTTTCGGATACAAACGCTTTCTTTAAAAATATTTTAGATTGACTTGACTGTAACAGTTATTTCCTGTGATTTAAAGTTATCTTTTTGTTGAAGTGGAGGTTCCCTTTAAAGGGTTAAAGGATTTCAGCCACTCCCACTTTAAAACTGCGTGTCGAGAGGAAATTTTCTCTGCAAGCATAGTTTTAAAAAATATGGGCCACTTTTAGTCCACTTTCCACTCTTGTAAATGAAACCTTCAGCAGTTCCGCCATAAGCAATCAGTTTTTTCTTTTACTTTGAACTTAAACATTTCAGATGGCAGTAAGGAAATGAACGGGACAATGGATTAGAGCAGATTTCCTCCATACTAAGAAAAAAAAAATACTAGATGCTACCTACCATAAATTGTATAGGCAACTTGATATCCCGAGAATCGAAGACTCCCTAACTGAAATTAAAAACAAACAAACAAACAAATCAAACAAACAAACAAACAAAAACAATTCTGAGCACCCCTAAAGGAAGTCAGTCACAGAAAGTTTATGATTTCTGATTGGTTTTATTTGCGTGTTTCTTAGACATGCGCTTTGGAAGACTCGTGGAGGGTCAGGCCATACAACAACTAGGATCATTTCGTGGAAAAAAATGTTATATCCGAAAACGACGGTCCGACAAACTAATTAATTTGTGTCATATATATAAAAAGTGTTATGCAGCTTCATGAATGCACGGGGTTCATTCAAACATTTTTTAAGGGCTTTTCAAGGTCTTTTCAAGAACAACATTTAAATTTCAAGGACCACCTACCAGGAATGTAATTTTACAGCTTGTACAAGAGGGCTTTATAGGCTTGAACTGTTTGCTCCATCAACTTACCTACATTTTTCAGCACACTTGTCTTAAACTGATAGTTAATTATTGCATAGAACAAGAAGGACTTTTCAAGGTCTTCTACAGAAATTAATTGACTTTTCAAGGACTTCCCCTAAAATTCAAGGACTGGTGGTCACGAAACGTTTTATTTTGTAAAGGCGAATCCAGAGTACCCAGAGTTTTTATTTCGTATTCTGTTAATATAAGAGCTGAACTTTGTCCTAGTATACATTTTGGCTAGGTATTACATATACTAAGGTGGATTTTTTTGGCTTATGAAGTTGATCATTTTTTACCCATTTTAAAAAGTGCGTTTGATGTAATATATCAAACATGAGATGCAGTGTTTCATCACCAGATGAAACACCGAGAAGAGAGTTGAAAATACGACGCGCAGCGGAGTATTTTTGACGAACTTCGAGGTGTTTCATCTGGTGATGAAACACTGTGTCGAATGTTTGATATTTCTTCTCAAACAAAATCATTTTTGAAGGAGAAATTAAGGATGCAAATACTAAGCAGTGTTTCATCCGATTTCCAAACACTCATTAAACATTAATTTCCTTTGTATTTTCTTAACGAATTCTTAATGAGTTTGAGAAGGTAGTTTTAAAAAACCTTAAAAAAAAATTCCAAATCATGTTTATGGTTTAAAACATACCATGGATAGAAGTAGATCATTTTTACTCTAATTTTTTGCATAATTAATTAGGTAAAACCCGCTATTTTCGTTTTTCCTCATTTTCTCGAAAGCTGTAGATTCTTGAAAGTTAAAAATATTTTTTTCGACGATAGTTCCCCAAAGAGGTTTTTCTGACAAATTATCAGAATTTTCGATTTTTTTTAGCATGGCCAGCGATTCTTGATATTTACAGTCATGGGTTCTTAAGCTAATTGAAGGACTCACCACTAGTTTAGCAGGCGAAGGAAAAACTCCTTGGGCAAACCTTCTTTGACCTCTATAAAGCTGTAGAACATGATCCCTAGTATAAATAAGGCAAAGCTATTACCGTACAGATCAAGTATACGCGATCCTGGCAACTGTTGGCCCAGGGTCTGGAAGGGTATTTTCGGGATCCGGGAATTGATTGAAATACAGTGAGGGACTCCGAAAAACGCAACATTTTTTGACGGGATACGGGATTTGACCACTTTCAGGAAGCGGAATTGACTAAATTCTTGGCACGGGATGCGGTATTAAGAAAAGAAAACGTTCTTTTTGGAATAGAGATGACACCAGAAGTTCGAGATGCGGGATTGTCTTTAAAAAATGAGCGGGAATGCGGGATCAGGACCCCCCCTTCCAGACCTTGTTAGTCGTGTTTGGTAGATCATTTGTTGATGCGTTAGCAATGTAATTACGTTAACCTCTTACCCTTCTCTTTCAAAATCACCTTATTGCAAAGATTTGATTTTGCACTAAACAGTCAATTGAAGACAACTGTACTTAATGATTATCTGCAGATTACACAAACTGGATTTTAAAATTGTTCACTCATGACAAGATTGAGTTTGTTTTGCCATAGGCGTTATTGAAATAAAGTGAATTACCGAGGGCAGCCTCGCCAGTTTTAAACAAGCTCGCTCTCCCCAATAAGCCCCATCCCGGGGGTCTAATAAAGAGATCGCGCTCAGAGACCAAGCCCTGCCCCACTCAAAAATGTGAAAACGAATAGTATCAGAAATTAAATTTAAAGCCCTATACAGTCGAAGCTCTCATTAGCGACCACATCGGAAATTCAAAAGAGGGGTCGTAACTAGAGCTGGTCGCTTACGAGAATGAGCTCTCGTGAGATCATTCTTTCGAAAGAGACCGAAAGGTAAAACAATGGACGGTGGTCGCTTATCGGCTGAGGGGCTTCAACAACTCATTAATAATTCATAAAGGCAAAACAAAAGTAATCAAAGTTAAATGAGTGTCTATATATTTGATATAGACACGGCTAAACTTTACATCCAGCCTTTTAGGCCAAAATCTAAATATTAATGCAAGAATGAGTTGATCTACACCAGAAGATTTCGAAGCCGTTCAGTAAACTCACAGTTAGTGGTCGCTTACAAGAGCTTAAAGCGCAAAGGAAAAGTCCAGTTGGGTAATCCTAAAAGTGGTCGCGATCGCTTACAGTTGCTTTTCATCACTAAGTATACGTCACAGTTCAGACGGGGTTTTACAAGGGTGGTCTTAACTAGACCTGGTCGCTCACGAGAGTGGTCGAAAGGAGAGCTTCGAGTATAGTTTAAATCAGTGTCACATTTATGGTTAACGCTTAAATCAGTCCGGAATACTTTCTGGTGCTGCCCCACTCAATCCTCCCAACCTCCCCCCAACCTGCTCTGTGCTCGTATTCCTTATTAACAATCTGCCTTCACACAACTTATAATCTTGTCCTCACCGATGGCTCTTCATAAAATGCAGAAGCAATATGGCACTTATCATCGCTGACAAAACAAAAGCTGCTTGCCACATGCCTAGAAATAGATACATCACGCTAAATTAAGGCCTGTAATGGACTAGCTAAAAGTGCAAAACTTTGGTTACAGGGCTCGAGCTGAGTAGAGGTTTGTTTACGCGCGTGACGACAGTCTCCTATCTCAACACAGACTTCATTTTACTTAGGTGTAATTTCGGCGTTTATTTTTATTTTCATTCACACCTTGTTTGAAAACAAATAATTTTCTCTCCGGAATAGCCTTTCTTCCACCCGTATCAGAAAAAACGGCTATAAAAACGCAACTTTTTAAATGCTCTCCTATATTGAAAGTTTGTATTACCCAACATCGCGTGGAAAGATGGAAGAATACGATTTTAGAAAACGATGACGTGAAAATATCTACATGGTTAACGAGCAGAATAAAATGTCCTACCGACAGGTGATCTTTTTAACTCTATTTTATCAGGGAGGGCTCCAAGATTTATCCTATAGAACTCAAAAATCTAGTGTCCACAATTTTTGCGATGAAACTGGACAGTTTTATACTTCATCAAATTGACAGATTGTCAGTAAATGAGTGCCACGTATGAGACATTATGACGTCATTAGTTAACAATTGTCGTCTTTCGCTATTTATTGATATATCTTAGCCTCAGTATCAGGTCTTACTTACCTACAGAAACTTGGGTGCCTCGTACCATGATCAAACAAACCTTTCTCTTTCTAAACAGGTGGATGGGGACAAGGAAAATTCCAAAAAGCTCAACTGCTTACAGTTTAATTTTTATGTCCTACGAACGCTCCGTAGTTAATACAGTCTTTCGCTCTAAGCGCGGAGGTTTGTGAAAACAAGGATTATCAAACACAGGTCTATGACCTCAGAGG